ACCCTAAACAAGAAGCAGCTTGTTCTTTCGCGCTAGTGCGCTCAATCCGTTGCTTGTTCCTTTCCTTTGGATTTATTATCATAGGTAGTGTTCGAGATCGCCTCTGTGCGGTGAACGCTCGAATGTAGCTAACATCAGTTTTGTCCTCGCGTGGTTGAAGGAGATGCTGCTGCTGGATGGAATGCTTCCGTTCCGGGGCGCCATGATCCTTCTATCAGGAATAATCGAGGGCACTGACTGACTGCATCAATCATCGCTCAGTGAGCTATTAATTGCCGCCAATAGCGCTTCGCTTGCATGCAAGGCGGCTAATAAAAGCGCCAGGTAGACGCGCGGAGATGCATTTTGAGTACTGGTGGTACTGGACAAGCTCTAGGGGAATAATCTCTTTCTTATTTCTTTCTTATTTCTTTCCCATGACGACTAGGAACGGGCAAATCAAGAATTTCACTTCGAATTCCGGACCTCAACATCCTGCTGCTCATGGTGTTTCACGATCAGTATTGGAAATGAACGGAGAAGTGGTGGAACGTGCGGAACCACATATTGGATCACTCCAGTGCGGCACGAAGCCGCTGACGCTGAGTAGGCTCCTATGCCGCTAGCACGGTGGAGGTTCCGTAGCGCGTCATGAGCACCGGGCAAAGGGACGGTTGAGCGACTCAAGCGAACCGCCCTACCTGACTTTGGATAAAGATAGAAGGGAGAAGGTTGTGAAGGTGGCCTCGTTATCCACACATCTGGTCGGAGGACCAACCTGGGTTTTCACGAGCGTAGGCGGATCCTGGAGTGCCCGTCAAGGGCGCTAGCGCATACCCCGGGGTGATCATCACCACCTGCACCTCACATCTCGGCACAGTGGAACGTGTAACCCGCCTGCTGTCCAAGTCAACCACTTAATTTCCTGTAATTCATAGCGCCTAACAGAACGTAGCAGCAAGGGACAACCCACCCATACAGACAGCCTGCGGGGAGGATGGCACTACTGGCAAAGACCGTCTGGCGAAAACGCCGCAGGCGCGAAGCGTGGTGGGCCTGCGCCGGGGGAGCATAGGGAGGAAAGGGAGCCCGGACGGTGGAAGAGCCAGGGGAAGCCGGGTCATTTGACGGAAATGGAAGGTCCGAGCGGCTCATTCATTCTTGGAAAAAGAGGGGGGGGGGTGAGCCAATGTATCAATGAATAGATACAGTCAACGGTAGACAGACAGCGCCACCTACACGCGAATTAGCTTCCGAGGTCGAGCAGTCTCAATTTCACTACAGGATTTGCGAATGAATGCTAGGCTGGGCCACCTCAAATGGCGTGAGCCGCATGCGGGGAGACCCGCACGTACGGTTTTCAGGGGGATCCGGCCGGCCGGCGCCCACCCGACTAGAGGGACTGAGAAATTAATCGAGTACAAAACTTATCTTCAAGCTTTACCTTATTTTGATCGTTCAGAGGGCGATCGCGGAGTCACTGAATGAAGTCCTCCCTCCCTTTCTTTCGGAGGTGCTGACCCGCTGCAAGGCAGATATGACTAAGTGACATATTGAATATGGCGACGACTACAGCATGTCGTAGAAGGAGATAAGAGGTGGAGCCAACGACCCACTAAGACTCACGTATCTACAACTACATTCCCGAGCGGCAGTCAAACGGAGGCGTGAATGCAAGATGCCAGCGGAATGATCGACCGGACAGAGGCTAGGGCAGCTTTCTTCCCACCGCGTCCTTCCTTGTGTGTCGGAGATACAAAGCGAGTGCACCGGAAAAGAAGGGGAACTGAGTCGATCTATTCCATGGCGAAGCATCCGAAGCATAACTGCACACTCACACGATCTTTGCCGAGAGATAGGAGCATTCGGTGGAACCGGTGAACTACACTTGCTTCTTGATAGATGTGTGGGACAGAGGGCTCGTGGTACCTGCTGCCCACCCTTCCTCCGCTTTGATAACCGTGTGAATGGAGAGTGGGTAGAGCAAAAGGGAAGGAGGTCCTCATACGGAGTCGCACACTTGAGCAGTGCGGGAGACTGGAGAATGGGTCGAGTAAACTCCCTTAGGGCCGATTAAATCACAGACGAGGAACTTTTCTTGATTTTTGCTTTTTGATTTGAAGGGTATGTTCTAAAAAAAGAAAGGCAGAGGTAAATACTTCGAAGAGGCGGCTCGGTAGGGATGGAATGGTCAATCGTCAAGTCAAGGATGACTTCTTTGTTGGCGAAACGATGGGGGGGAGAAAGCACGCCAGTGATTCTCCGAGCCGGTCTTCATTTCCAACGCCTCGGGAAACAGGTCGAGATAGATGACAGCACCTTTTTATCCTCTTCCTTACCGGGAAGGCGCACTTCTCTTCTTCTTCTGGCCTTCACCTCCTGCCCGGCCCGGAAATAGAACCCCTTTCTGATCCATTCATTTCTGCAAGCAGGCGGGATCCAGAGCTAAGCCCCCTCCTATTCGAAGCCGGGTGTGGCCTCGCCCTTTTGCTCTTCCTTCGGTTTGGCTCCACGAAGGCGCCGCCTAGACTAGGAGCCCCACTCATATTCAAAAGGCGCCCAGCTTTAAAGACGATGATAATAAGTAGTTAGGCTGCCATTTTTCCAATATCATGGAATAGCATGGCCCGGGGCTAAGGTAACTCCAGTGGGAGAGCCGTGTTATGGGTGACCTTATTGCACGGTTCAGAGAGCACTTGTGTATGTGATGCAAGTGAACGTGTACGAAAAAGCTGTCGTAAAGTTTCGTTGTTCGTTCCGTAGTTGACCCTATCTATGTTTCTACGATGGCCCAAGAACACGCTCATTCTTCAGCCGTAGAGAGACTTTTGAATTGTGAGGTACCATTACGAGCTCAATATATACGAGTGTTATTCTGTGAAATAACTCGAATTTCAAATCATTCACTTGCTTCAACTACTCATGCTATGGATGTGGGAGCATCAACTCCGTTCCTTTGGGCTTTTGAGGAGCGGGAGAAATTGTTGGAATTCTATGAAAGAGTCCCGGGAGCCAGGATGCATGCCAGTTTCATACGACCTGGTGGAGTGGCACAAGATCTGCCTCTTGGCTTATGTCGAGATATTGATTCCTCCACACAACAATTTGCTTCTCGTATCGACGAATTAGAAGAGATGTCAACCGGCAACCGTATCTGGAAACAACGATTAGTGGATATTGGTACTGTCACTGCACAGCAAGCAAAGGATTGGGGATTCAGTGGTGTAATGTTAAGAGGTCGTGCGACATGAAGACATTGATAGCAATATGGGGGAAGTTCCCATCAGGCAACAACGGTTCTACCTGACCCTACAAAAGCATGCATATGTTGTCAGTGAAGATTTTGTGTGAAGCCTTGGAGACGACGTACCCGGGGCTGGGGTGAGCTGAGGGGGGACAGCGTAAGTGAGCGAATGTGCGTAAGCCCAGTCAAAGATTCCTATTCTAGGCGGGGCGGGCCATCAACCTTCGAATGGTGTTGGTCCTACGGACCGTGAACGGATTCGCCTCTGGCCTCTGGGCACGTCGGAACCGCATGAGTTCACCGGGGTGGAGCACGGTCCGCCAAAATCGGCATAGGTTAGGTGCTATTGATGGAACATGGTAAGCCCATCTTTCCCCATATGAAAGTGCTGCGGGCACATAGAGATGTGGGTAGAGGAAGTCTCAAAAAGCGAAGGCCGAGCTGTAGGTCACGTGACCTGCACCGAAAAGGTGGCTGACTGGGCTTTCTCCTGGATCAAAGCAGATCAGCTCGCCAAATTCGTCGATCGAATCCCCGGAACGTCGAATGAAAATACGTGGTCTTTCTACAACCCTATTTATATGATAGGCCCGGCCCCTTTCCCCCTATCCCTCCCTTATGTTTAGGAGCGGGATCTGCCCAAGAACGACCTGTGGTGGTACGGAAGGCACGGACTCCGCAAGCGTCCCGCACCCTCTGAGAAAGAAACTCCTCAACCATTACAAGATAAAGAAGTATGACGCTCTGTGTCTGACTCTATTGGTCATAGTTCCTTGCTGTTGCGGCCGGTGCTCGTTTGCGCGCGTGTGAACCACCAGATCATAAGGAAAGATGCCTCTCGTGGCATCTGAGAATGATTCGAGCCGTATGAAGGGAAACTCCCACGTACAGTTTGTTTTGGGGGGGAAGGAGCCCGATAGGGTCCCCCCACTGACTTGGCCCGGGCCTAAGTGAAAGTGAAAAAGTGAAGTGGTGGGCCTACCCATCCCAACCTGGGGTATGCTGGGATTCGCGAAGAGCAGCACCTTACGATGTTCATGACCAATCGGATCTTGACGTACCAGTAGGTACCAGAGGAGATCGCTATGATCGTTACTGTATCCGTATCGAAGAGATGCGACAAAGTGTACGGATCATTGTGCAATGTCCTAATCAAATGCCTAGTGGCATGATCAAAGCCGATGATCGTAAGCTATGTCCTCCATCACGATCTCGAATGAAACTATCCATGGAATCGTGCGCCGTGTGAAACGTAGATCATCGCCGTTCTTAACCGAGACTCAGGTTAAGCTCCGTCTCGGAACCGTCGTGGGGTTAGGAGTAAAGCATCCCGAGGTTGGCGCATCTCGTTGGGCGTGGAGAAGCATTGGGAACCCCAATATCTTTCTTCGGAGCAGTTTCTTTTCCCGTCCCCTCGCCCCGGCATAGCGCTTCGCTTCCGGTTCTTCGGAAGAATCAACTGACTTCTCCCTTCTTCATTGCTCCGGGGGAAAGGGAACCGTCTACCAGTTGGGAAGCTAGACATCAAGGTTGTGGCTTGATGAGGATAACTAAGCTGACACGCCGGAGTTGGCTGCTGGCACAACAGGGTGGTGCCTTACCGCACCGCAGGCGCACGCGCGGTAGCGTTCGTGGTGGTGCTTCAGGATTCCAATGTACTGCGTCCAAGATCAGAACGAGCTTGCCGGCGGACCACTGCCGTCCCATTCTTTAGTGAGCTGGAGCGCTGCCATCTTATGCACGGAAAACGCGTCAAGCTATCGCTTCGGGTCGAAGCACTAAAAGAAAAGGACCGGGAAACGCGGCGGCATAGGAACCACGGGAACCCAGGAGGGAGAAAGACGATGTACGGGATACGGGATCCTCGTAGTAGGCTGGACCAAAATCCAGCCGAGAGAGGGCAGCCTTTAGAAGCAACAGGTGGGGAAACCAAGAGAAGGCTTCGCCTTTTCTTATCTTCTTCCCGGCACAAAAAGAGGGATTAGTATTATTGACCCCATGAGAAAGCACTAACACCTTCCTCGTTGGGGCTCCGCGCACTGGGTCCGCGACAGGAAACCGGCTACTAGTTAGGAAGTGAACATAAGGTATCAAGAGGTCCCTCACAGTCAGGTGCGATGCAATTGCCCCCTATTAGTCAAGTACCCCTCTTCCTATTTTGTTTAGGGGTTAAGGCGAGAAATGGCTTGATGAACCCTTCCGTTCACCACGCACCGGCCCCATTCACTTGCAACTCGTAGAGGCTGTAAGTAAACAGTGCCCCACTAAATTCAAAGTGACGGTGGGGTTGAAAGACGAGAGTGCCTACCTCCGAGCCGAGAGTGCCCGCCCTTTCTGTCAAGTAGGCTACTTTTTCCGGAACGCAGTCCGGAATAAGCGTTCCTGTGTATATAGATATCTTCGATGCTGTCATTTCGAAATGTCCGCTTCAACCCCTCTTTCACCTCCCAAAAAGCTAAGTTGGCTTGACGAGCGCAGATGAGGAGCAATAAAACCAAGAATCTCTTTCTTTTCCAAATACTTTATTAAGTTAAGGGGCAAAGAGAAGCGCTTTTGCTACTGAGAAAGTGAATGGTCAGCGCGAGGGTTCGACGACTTAGCCGAGCGTTAGCGAAGCGTCATTCTCATAGCGAGGCGCTTCGAGTTAGCGAAGCGCTGTAGTAGCGTCGGAGACTATGTGCTATAATGCTGAACTAAGGACGTTCCGCCTTATCTATAGAAGCAGTCAACTGAGTTCTGAACGAATGGGATCCTTGGTGGGTAATGGCTCAATCAATCTATAGATGGAAAGCCTTATGATGGGAAACTACCACGTTAGGTTTGGAGAGAGATGGGACCTGTTATAGTTTAAGGGGAGCAGATGCAAGCTTTTTCTTTCCATAGCCGGCCAAATGACTACCGGATCATCGGTCTACTCTACCTCAATTCACCATTTCGAACTTTATACAGAAGGTTTTTCCGTACCAGCTCCTTCTACCTATACCGCAGTTGAAGCACCTAAAGGTGAATTTGGTGTCTTTCTTGTCAGTAATGGGAGTAATCGTCCCTACCGTTGTAAAATAAGAGCACCTGGCTTTGCCCATTCACAAGGACTCGATTCTATGTCCAAACATCACATGCCAGCAGATGTAGTCACCATCATAGGTACTCAAGATATTGTGTTTGGAGAGGTAGATAGATAGGACGTAGTCTTGCTCGATCAGGACCCTAGCTTTATTGCGAGCCAAAACAGCCTGAAAGAAAGCAAGTGTGCCATGTAAAGCCATGCCTGAGTTTCAGCCTTTCAGGTGATAGAAGGGCCATCCACTTCAACTCTCGCCCTCCCTTTTAGGCATTTTTTTACAGAGGCGTGGAATTGGCAAAAGAAAAAACTACAATTTGGTAATAAAATCTACATGGTTAGAATTGCCATAACGACTATATTGAGGAGTTTCTGAAACGAGAATTCTCATAGATGATACGAAAAGCAATGTACTAAAAGCAGGAAAGTAGCAGTTCTGGGAAAGTGAGAAAGCAAAGAGAGGCACGTTTGTTAACAAAGCGGAACCAAAGACTTCTGCCTACAGCCAAACAAAACTTGCAACTATATTCAATAATGCCTGAAATGCTAGTAAACCAAACCGCTCCAGATGGGCTTCCTACCGGCAGATGTTATACCTTCCCGCTATCTAACGTGTACGGCCCCATAGATAGATGATGCCAAAAAACCGGACTTATTACAAGAGCTTATGCTCCTTCCACCTCGTTCTTGATGTAATTGCACCCTCTGTGTGCCTTTCCTCTGCTGGTCAAAAAGTGGAGAGATTGCGTCAACGTGGATTTTTAGTTTATCTTGGGAGTGTTCTTCCAGCTTGTCCTCTTCCCTACGGTTTTCTTGCATGCAGTCTCTGGGAGGACTAAGGAAAGATCCTAGTACTCCAGGTAGGGCTCTAGAGAAGATTCCCTGAAAGAGCTAAGATAACTAAATTGATTTACGCTTTCCTCTTTCTTTTTTTTTTCATATATAGAATTGGAACGATTTCCTTGCCTGTGATGGGCCGCAAACGTAAGTTGGTTGTTAGCGCCAACTGAACTGCGTAACCAAAGCGATTCCCCTTATTGGAAGATAGGGTTAACCTATGTCGGTTCGACTCCGGCGAGTCGCCCCCCATTATTAGTTCGGCGTGCTGTCAGTTCCACGGGCCTAATATATGATATTTAGCATATACGAGTGCTGCTACAACCTCCTCTTCTATTCAATTGTATCTTTATACCTATCCTTCGATAAGGGGTAGGTAATTAGAGGGGAGAATGTTATTAAACATAGGAAAAAGTTTACACTAAACGATACTCAACGTATGCGGAAGATCGAGCTCTCCCGGTAGAGAACGCCGCAAGAGATAGCTAACTAAACTCACTTATAGGGATTGGTTTAATCCAAGTATAGGTTGATACACACTCTTTGAACAAAAGAGAGCGAGGGTTTAAACACGTATCACGAACGTTATGATCCGATAGTATAGGTTGAGGAGTAAGTAGGTTACTAAGGATAAGTAAATCAAAGACGATATCTTTTCTTAAGCCTTCCCATTTCTTCCTTGTTGGAGTGTATAAACTACTCTGTTTTTGACAGTGTGATTCACGGCCTACCCTAGAGGTTGTATTAAACCCGGGCTGCCTAACAGCCTGCTCCTCTTTCCCAGAGGAGGGGACGGATAGGCTTGAGTTTGACTTCTTTCCCCCTCTTAGAAATTCCTGAAGAGTGCTTCAAGCTAGAGAGTAAGTTGGGATTCTTACTTATTCAGTAAGTTGAATACAGGCCTAAAAGATACATATGGAGGTACAAAAGAGCATCATTGGAAAGTTAATACGTGAACAACCCCTTGGCGGTACCAGAAACAGAACCCTTTGGAAAAAAAGTATGTGAGATACTCAGATCTGAAGGAAAACACTATCCACGGATAGATAATCCGGTATAGCATCACACCTATTACAGGTGAAAGGTAAGAATAGCAAGGAGGGAAAGCCGTGAGGAATGAAACAGTTCATTTCCCTTATTTACCCGGATAAATACTTTAAGACAAACCCGAATACAGAATTCCCTAATTGGTAAGGGATCAGATGCTAGGATTAACCTGTTGGAGAAAGACAAAGAGAATGGAATGAGTAGTATAGAAAAGGGGAAAATGAATCAGCATTCCCAAAACAAAAGTAAGATAGGGTTGGCAATTCCACTACTTCAAAAGGTTTGTGCCTTCCTCGGTAAGAGAATTCTCAAAAGCTATGAACCGGTATAGGTAGGATAGGGTAGTATTGTTGGGATAAAACCAAGGAATCCATCATCAGGGAATGTAACCCCCTCCTTGGAATCGTAATTCGCGAAAGACCTCGCGCCAGTCAAAGCTCTATTCCCTTTCATCCAGCCCGGAACAGAGTGTAGGCGAGCCCGGATTCAAAGTAAGATGGTCGAAAGGAAAGGAAGAATAAGAAAAGGAAAAAGCAATTTCGAGAGCTATTCTCTTTTCTATTCAGTTCGGAAAAGAACAAAGATAAGAGAGGAAATGATACTCCACTCACTAGACAATAAGGTCTTACCTCGAAGTGAAATGAAAGCCAATAAGAAATAAAGAGTTCTTTTAGACGCCTTCGACTGTCGGGTTCTAGCTAATGGAATGCAAGCACTTTCGTTTTTGTTTCTAGCCCGGAGAGAGAGGCCTCCGCTTTTATCGCATTGAGTGGAAATTGGGGTTCACGCACGATTTTAAACCACCCTTGTTCACGGCATTCTACTTTTCTGGCAGCTTTGCTCTCTTTCTGAAAAAACAGACACCTTTCTTTATACGACGATAGGAAGAGCACAATGCACGCTTTCTACGATGAATGAGCTCGAGAGTTATGGAAAACGAAACTCTATCAATCACCTAACAAAGAAAGCAGTCATACACTTCCACTAACTTTCATGACCGGTTGGAACGAGATTTTCTGACTATGCAGATCCGGAACGAACTGTCCAACTCACAATTGAACATGATGCCCCAAATCAATCTTGGCCCAGGAGAACTAGTAGCGGAGCGAAGGAAAGACCTCACATTACGTACGCCAGAAGAAGCTTGTGAACGCGATATCAAGTGAATACCGCCCATGGCCAGGAATTCCTGAACAAGGAAGGATACCCAGATTAGGAATATGGCTAGCAGAAAGCAGCCTCGAAGATGGTCGAGTGTAATCACTTCTCTCACTACGGAAAGGAAGCTGGGCCGAGGCGAACAAGACAAGCCGCTTAGCAAGCAGGAAAACAAGTAGGCGAAAGAAGAGGTTTAAGTTAATGAGAGCTTGAGAATCTAGTTATTTAGTCAACTTTCTCTTCATAAGGGAATAAGGCGGGTGGGTGAAAAGCCTATAACAACATCAAAATGGAAAAACAAGAGTCTCAGGGACCCAGAAAAAGGATTTTTTGACATGTTTTGTTTCTTACTAGGATGCTTTGAATATTCCACTTCTTTCTATCCTTCCCAGGCCCGGTGAAGGAAACTTCCCTTAAACCTCCTCGCTAGTTAAGAGGAAGTCTTGTCTTGGGATCCAGAGCTGTTCCCTTACTTGTTCAGAATTTTAATGGAGTATCTTCCCCAAATGTTCAGCCTAGCACAGCAAAATGGTCAAATCAGTGGTATAAAGCTGGCACCGACAGCACCGTGCATTACTCACTCAATGTATGCAGACGATTTGGTTATCTTTGGCCAAACAAGCACCGGCTGCGCGAAAGCAAAGCAATTCAAAGAATTGAAAGAGAGAGACCGA